CGAGCCGACCCGGAGCCCAGCTCCCCCCTCAGCAGCTCCCCAAACCAGTCCAGAGCCAAGCTCCCCCCGTGGCCAGTCCCTGAGATGGCTCGGAGCCCAGCTGCCCCCTCATACACTCCCCGAGCTGGCTCCATGCCCACCTCCCCCATGTCAGCCCCTAGAGACCAGCTCCCACCCTCAGCTATTCCCTGAGCCGGACTTAGCCTATGCACATCCTGTCCCATCGTCCCCTCCCCAGCCGATCTAGGACCAGCCCCTTTGCAGACCCCAGCAAGCAGGTGGCCAGCGGCACTGTGGGACCCGGCTCGGCCTGCAGCTGCGTGAGTGGAATTGTCCTGCAGCCTCCTTGCAAAAGAGACGTCCAGGCCTCTCTCGCCGTGAAAGGGTTACACAAGACGAGTGTCACCGCAAAAGCCGCGGGGGTGGGGTTTCTAGCTGAGCTCACCCTCCGCCGGTGCTGGAGATGTCACGGCCAGAGCGACAGTGAACCCCTGCCAATGCCAAGGCACAGGCCAGGAGTTCTGGCTTCAAGCCCGTGTCCCCTGGAAGCCGGGTCTCTCAGGAGAGATTCCAACACTGCCCCACAGCGAGGTTTGTGTTCCTCCTGGTGGTGCACATGCCCCGGCGCATGTCACAAAATTTATTCCACATGTGAATAAGAACATGAAAATGGCCATAATGGTTCAGACCAATGGTCGATCCAGCCCAGTGGCCAATGCCAGGTGTCCCAGAGGGAGTGAATCAAACAGGCAATGATCAAGCAATCTCTCGCCTGCCATCCATCTCCACCCTCTGACAAACAGAGGCTAGGGACACCATTCCTTACCCCTACTCATAATCATCATTTATGGACTTAGCCTCCATGAATTCATCTAGTTCTCTTTTAAACCCTGTTATAATCCTCGCCTTCACAACCTCCTGAGGCAAGGAGTTCCACAGATTGACTATGCACTGTGTGAAGAAGAACTTCCTTTTATTTCTTTTAAACCTGCTGCCCATTAGTTTCATTTGGTGGCCCATCATTCTTATATTATGGAACAAGTAAATAACTTTTCCTTATTCACTTTCTCTACACCACTCATGATTTTACAGACCTCTATCATATCCCCCCTTAGTCTCCCCTTTTCCAAGCTGAAAAGTCCCCACCTCTTTAATCTCTCCTCATCTGGGACCCGTTCCAAATCCCTGGGAACAATCTGCACATGGCTGGAAAAGATGAGAGGGAACGTTGCTCCAAGCCCTGCCTTCCTCTGAACACTTTTCCGATTTTTCACACCCAGCAGCAGCATTCATTTTGTTACATGGGACACGACACCACCATACGGGGACATACAGCAAATTCTCCAGTGGGAACAAGGGGTTCTGAGTGGGGGAGGGGGCTCAGGGCTGGGGCAGAGGGTTGCAAACCAGTTCCAGAGTGTGAGGTTCTACCACGTCCCAGGAATCTAGAACCCAAGCAACTCTACCAGGCTGTGACATATAATGAAAGTTGGAATCCTTGGGGGATCTGGCCACCATGATGTATCTGGAAAACAGGAGTGTTTATGCAGTTCGAAAGCATTTTGACAACTAGAACAACTTGCGCTTCTAGAGTCAGTCTAATATAGAACTCACAGGAGCATATAGAGTTTAAAACTATTTACACAGATGGCCCCAAACCACTCTAGAGCCAAACAGGAATCCAGAACCTTCTGGACACTACAGAGATAAGGATATGCCAAGGTGCCTAGAACTCAAGACTATCTAGAGTCAGCTATACATCTAATTGACATCCTGCCTTGGGCAGGGGGTTGGATTTGATGACCTCCTGAGGTCTCTTCCAGCTTTATAATTCTATTATTCTAATCTAGACCCTAAGGAATGATTCAGCTAGAAAATATTACAATACCTAGAACCCCATATAGCTAAGGTCATCAGGGCTGTGTCTAGACTACATGCCTCTGTTGTCAGAGGCATGTAGATTAGACACGTAGGCAAAGTCAAATGAAGCCGCGATTTAAATGATCTCGGTTTCATTTAAATTTACATGGCTGCCGTGCTGAGCCGACAAACAACTGATCAGCTGTTTGTCTGCTCAGCGCGCTAGTCTGGACACTCCCCTGCCGACATCAAAGCCCTTTGTCGGCAGCCCTGTTGGGGGATCGGCGTACAGTGATGTATCTGGAATACATGGGAGTTTATGCAGTTTGAACACATTTTGGCATCTAAAATGACACACAGTTCTAGAGTTAGTTTAATATAAAACTCATGGGAGCATATAACGTTTAAAACTACTTACGCACATGGCCCAAAACCATTCTAGAACCAAAGAGGGATCTGTCAGTCCCCGTAATACACGAGGTTCCAGGATCTAGAACCCTCCAGATTCTAGGGGGATTAGGATGTGCCAAGGTGCTAGACAAGACTATCTAGAGCCAACTCTGAATCCAGACTCAAGGAACTATTCAAGCTAGAAAATGTCGAAATACCTAGAATCGCATGAAACTAATGTCACTAGGTATCCAGAACATGCCCAGCCCCAAGTTTTTTCTATACTTCTGTGCAGTTAGTTTCTCGCTGGTTCTGCCCATGGGAATGAGGCCCCAACCCATCGCTGTCGAGATCCTCGTAAAAAGCTGCTTTGACCAGAGAGATCAGGGACATCCTGAAGACCTGCTGGAACATCTGCCCCACAAAGAGGTAGAGGACGGGCGTGAAGCAGACGTTGGCGCAGAACATGATGACACAAATGAGCTGGAAGATGACAGTTAATGACTTGGGCCCATCTTTGTAGAGCATCAGGCCATAGTAGAGGTGGTAGGGCAGCCAGCCGAAGAAGAAGGACACCACCGCTGCCACCATGACTTTGAAGGGCTTCCCGCTCCGGGACAGCACCTTCTCCTTCATTGTCAGGCCCATCCGGATGTAGCATCCTGCAATGACGCAGAGGGGCAGCAGGAAGCCCAGCAGGAACCGGCTCATGAACAGCGTGAAGTGTACGTGCTTCTTCCAGGCATCTCCAGCCTGGTCTCTGGAGATATAGTAATAATTTGTGCAAGTGACTCTGCCGTCTCCCAACGTGCTGGTGTCCTGGAAAGCCAGGTAGGGAGCACTGAGGGCCAAGGAGACCAGCCACGCCCCTGCAACCAGCTTCTTGGCCTTGCGCACGGTGCAGTGATGCTGGGACCAGAAACGGTGGCAGGTGCGCGTGTAGCGGTCCAGGCTGATGAGGGCGAGGAGGAAGACGGAGGAGAACATGACCAAGTGGGTGCAGGCACTGATGAGTTTGCACATGATTGTGCCGAGGGCCCAGTGGAAACCCATCAGGATGTAGATGATGAAGAAGGGGATCAGCAGGGTGAAGAGGAGAGAACAGGAGACCAGGTGGAGGAACCAGAGCGTGGTCACCGTCCTCTTCATCTTCCACCCCAGCACCCACAGGTACAGACCGTTCCCCACAAGACCCACCAGGACAGTGGGGAACAGAAGCCCGGCTGAGGCCAGCTGAACATCCTTCGTGGGTACGGAGGACTGGCTAGAATTTGCCCAGGTTACAGACGGGAGGGTCCCGTTGCCTTGCTCCATCATGCCCTGGGGAGAGACAGAAGAGGGATTGGAAAGGGCAACAGAAGATGAGACAGGAGCTTGGAAGAAGAGGTTGGGAGACATAACAGAGCAGACAAGGAATGCACCAAGACACCCTCTGGTTCTCTGGAATTTCTCTAGACTATCCAGGCTGTCAGTCCCAATTTCTGGGCAGAGCCAGTGGAACTCACCGCCACAAGACAGTGCTACGGCCAACAGGGGGAGATGAGTGCCTTAGTAGAGTGGAGGGTGGGAAGAGACAGTCGTAGAACAGGTCAACACTAAGAATGACACATGACTGTGACCAGGGGAATGGGAGGGACAGGCTGACTCAGAAGGGTAGGGAATGGGAGGCGGGGCTTTTCCCCACCAGAAGGCTCTGGCTCTGTCTCCAGTGTGAGGACTCAAGTTGCAGCAGGGGAAGTCTAGTTTGAATATTAGGAAGCACTGTTTCCCTAGGCGGGTGGGGAAGCACTGGGCTGGGTTCCCTGGGGCGGGATCTCCATCCCTAGAGGTGTTTAATTCTTTGCTTGACAAAGCCCTGGCTGGTTGATTTAGCTGGGATTGGCTCTTCTTTGGCCAGGGGGCTGGACTTGAGGACCTCCTGAAGCCTCTTCAGGTTCCAGGGTTCTGTGATTCTATGACTCACTGGCCCAAGCAGGTGGGAACTGGCTGGAGCAACCCCCTGGCTGTGTCTAGACTGGCCAGTTTTTCCGGAAAATCATCTGCTTTTCCAGAAAAACTTGCCAGCTGTCTACACTGGCCGCTTGAATTTCCGCAAAAGCACGGACTTCCTACTGTAAGACATCATTGCTTTTTGCGGAAATACTATGCTGCTTCTGTTCGGGCAAAAGTCCCTTTTGCGCAAAAGTTTTGTGCAAAAGGGCCAGTGTAGACAGCTCAGATTTGTTTTGCACAAAAAAGTCCCGATCGCGAAAATGGAGATCGGGGCTTTTTAGCGCAAAAGCGCGTCTAGATTGGCACGGACGCTTTTCCGCAAACAGTGCTCTTGCAGAAAAGCGTCCGTGCCAGTCTAGACGCTCTGTTCAGAAAATGCTTTTAATGGAAAACGTTTCCGTTAAAAGCATTTCTGGAAAATCATGCCAGTGTAGACGTAGCCCCGGAGTGCAGGAGCTGGTGCAAGGGGAAAAAATCCATCCCATACCCTGTCCCTTTGGCTGCTTTGTCTGCTGCTGCTGCTGCACACTGACCTGTGAGAATGGGAAGGAGGCTTCCTTCCCCACTTCTCACACAGGAAGCCTCAATCCACCGAGCTGTTTCTTGTCCTCTGTGGTGCTGCGAGCCGTGCCGTGTATCAGGGTCCTTGGGGTTGTGTGCAAAGGTATCCCCACAGCCTTCTTAGGTTGGCATCTCCTGTGCGGGGCAGAACGGCATAATGGTTAGAGGACCTGGGAGCCAGGATTCCCAGGTTCCAGCCCTAGCTCTGGGAAGGGGTGGAGGCGGCAGGTCAGAACTCCTGGGCAGCGGGAGGGAAGTAGAATTTGGTGAATAGAGAACACCCCATCTGCTTCTTGTGAAATGTGAGAAAGTGTCACTCTCACAACACACATCTCACTTGCAAACACTGACTACCCAGTCCCCATGATAACCCAACTGAATGCTAGTGGCAAGGAGTTCCATGGGTTAACCCCACTGCATGCCAGTGGCAGGGAGTTCCACAGGTAAACCCCACTGAAAGCCAATGTTACGGAATCCCAGAGACTAACCACACTGAAAGCCAGGGGCAGGGAGTCCCACTGGTTTCCTTTGACAACAGCAAAAATCCAAAGTTTCTAGGAGGCCTTATCCTGGATATTCCCCTTTAGACCCACCCAGGGGCCATCTGCCCTTCATCTCACCTCACTAGAGCAGCAGGTTTGTAGAAACACGAAGCCAGCGGAGAGAGAGTCTCTGATGGGGTGTGTTTGCCCAGCAAAGCATCCGAGAGTCTGTCCCCTGCAGCCCCAAGCTCTGCCTGTGTGGTAAGTTCATTCCTCTTAGCTCTGTGTCTTCTACATGCTCCGCCCCCAGCTACTCTGCAAACCATAAAGGGAAAAGAACACCGGACAGTCTGACACAAACTACCATGCAAACAAAAGCCACTGTTTCCAAACGCGTGGGACAGGGCAACTGGGGGGAGCCCCCTCCCTCTCCCGCCTGAGCTGGCTCCCCAGGCTTTGCTAGTGACCAGCAGCAAACCCCCGCAGGCCCTGAGATCACTCAGAGCCCCAGGCAGTGCAGGGGAGTAGAGAGTTCGAGTGAGTCTGGGGAGTTGTTATTTCACAATAGCCGGAGTGTGGACGCCCCGGTGCTGCTGTTTCAAAATAACGAGTTCGAAACGAGTCTTCTTCCCCGAGGAGAGCCGGAGAGCAGATTTCGACGTGACGGCTCGGGCGTGTGGATGTTCCGCTTATGCCTTCGAAAGAAGGAGGCTTGTTCTGAAATAACTCTCCAGTGGGGAATGGGCTCAGGGCTACCCCCGATTTCAGGAGTTTTGTGGTGCAAGAACTGCCTGAATCAACTCAAATCCCCCTTCCCCCTTGTAGCTGCCGATTGAAGGAGTTTCAAAGTGTGAGAACAGCCTGAGTCAACTCAAACGGTGTGAAGGGGGCGGGTCTAAGTCTGTTCATCACTGGGTGAAGGTGATGATCATGGATTCGACAGGCGCTCACATGACTGAGTTAGGGAATCACAAGTGATGCAATGGATCCGCGTATTTACACCCTCGCTAAGATAACAAGGTGAACCTGGGTTAGCCCGTTGCTCACTCACACCCCGGATTGGGGGGGTCCAGGCAGAGCGAGTGTCTGCAATAAAGTATCTGACTTCTCCCCCCCACCACCTCCAGGTCCGCCTGTCCTTTCCATCAGTGTCCTCAGGCTTTCAGTGCCGTGGAGTCCTGCAGCACAGGTGGGGCAGGGGGCCGGTGGAGCCTGGGACCCCTGGGTGTGATTCCATTCCTGTAGCACATGCGCCTGTAGTACACGGATCACAAGGCCTGTCTGGGGGTGTCCCTGAGTCCCCTGGCAGGACTGAGCGATTCCCTCGATGTGGCCTCATTGCACCGTAGCACCCTTGCTGGACACCAGCTGGTGATGGGTGTTAGACACCCTCCCAGGCATTGGTTCCTTTTCCTGCTGTTGTCCCCGGGGAGCCAGTCGGGCAGATTCCCCAATTTACAGCACGTTTCAGTGACACCGAACGCTCAGCTGGGCTGTCACGGGGGAGCTCTAATGGCCGCTTCCTCCACTTGTCCCCCACGGCGACCCGGCTGAGCGGCGCAGAACTCAGCTGAGCGCTATGGCGGGAGGTGAAGGGGGCGGGGCGGTGACGTACACGCCCAGGGGGCGGGGCCTGGACGAGCGTGCATTCCCAACGGAGACAGAGGAGAGCGGAGAGAAGTGAGAGGCAGGAGGGGGAGAAGAGAAAGAGAGAGACGGAGAGAGAGGCAGAAGGCCGAGGAGAGCTGAGAGAGAGAGGGCGAGGCAGTAGGAGGAGGAGGAGAGAGAGAGAGAGAGATGGAGCAAGACACCAGAGGCTCAGGAGAGAAGACTGACATGGAGGAGAGACCTGAAAATCCCGTCTTATGACGTGCTAATTGGCTAGTTTTGAAATAATGAGCGCACTCAAAAGACGTGGAATAGGTATTTCGAGATACAAGAGTTAGTGTAGATGTCACCTTAACATGGACGTGCTACCTCTATTCAGAGCCCCAGAAAGCACTGGGGATTAATGAGTTTGAATGACTCTAGGGAGTGGGGGGTAGATATTTCGAAATAGCAGCAGTGGAGTGTCCACACGACCACTATGATGCAATTCCTAGCCAAGGACTGAGAAACCTAGTGGTTAGAGCTGAGGGAGTACGTGGTTGGGAATCAAGACTCCTGCATTGGAACCTGACTCCAACAAAGGACAGAGACTGAGCATTATAAATTGGGAATGTCTCATCTCATTGATTGAAAGTCACCCTCTGACATCAGTCCAGCCCTCTGCATTGCATCCTGTAGGTTAATCCTACAAACATCCTGTGTCAGGCAGCCTTGCAGCTTCACCTGAGAAATCCCCTCTGGCGGGGAGCCCCACCAGTGACTCAACAAATTACAGAGGCAGGGAGTCCCGCAAGTTAACCCTGACACTAGCACATGTCTGGTAGCGGGGCTAACAGAAACGCAGAGCCAGTGTGGAGAGAGCCAGGGAGAAAGTGAGTATTTGTCCAGCAGAGAGGCCGTGTGTCCCCCCCATCCTCCCATGTGCTCACTTCACTCCCTTTATCTCTCCATCATCACACCTTGCACCCGGCTGCTGTCGGTCCCAGAGAATGCAAACCACGAAAGGAAACAATAATGAACCATCCGCCACAGCTGGAAATCCCCCAGTGACTGGCCAGCGCATAGAGCAAAACTGAGACTGCAGCACGGCCCAGCCGGACTCCTTAGCCTGGGTGGGCTCAGACGGCCCTGTCACCTGCCACGTCTCTAAGGGACCCACGTGGCCAAAGAGACTGGGGCTCTGGCCTGGTTCCTAAGGGTGGCCGTGTCCTTCACCAGCAAAGCAAAGGAATGTCTCAATTCCGGATGAGGCCTCTCTCCGTTTTTCATCTTCCAAAAGAGAATCACTCGGAACCCCGCTGTTTCTAGAACTTGCCCCATATCTAGATCTAGAATCATTTCAATAAAGCATTTCAATATTAAAAGGAAAATGTACATTTGTCTTTCATTTTCCAAAAAACTCTGGAACCCTGATATTTGTGAAACCTGGTGAGTTCCAGGTATCTCATTGTTTATAAACCCAGCAGTGTCCCTGGGTTCTAGAGTCCCTGCGCTCCCAGTTCCATATGTTCTAGGTCTCTCCGATTTTTCAGTTGGTTCTCAGTGGCATCAGATCAGTAGCCTTCTCCAGCATCGTGCTTGCCTTAGGTCTTCCACAGTGTCCTCATTCCATGTTGATCACAGGATACCTCAGTTCACAAGGTGTAGGGGAGATCAACAGGAATGTTTGCACCCATCAACTTCCAGCTGTGGAGACCGTACCATTGGTCAAATTAAGGCACATCGCCTCCTGCTATGCAATTAACGAAGATGGAGTGGTGTTTCTTGATTCAACCTTCCAGCTTTGATCATGTAGTTATACATATTTATCTGGTTTTCCTAAAATATTTGAGAAAAATTGCACCCTGGAGCCACCCAAATTTGTTGCGAGAAGCCCTGTTCTAGACTGATTATGCCCTAGACCGATTATTGCTCTACTCTACCGAGTGATGCAGACTCCCGTGCCAATTCCTCATCCTGCTCTGCAAAGTGACACTCGGAGTGAAGGGCTCTCCGACCATCTGAGCCGAAGCCGTGGTTCAGAGAGGGTCACAAGCCAGCAAACTCACTGGTGCTGCTAGGAACTCAGAAGTCCTACATCAGAGGCATAGTGACGGGGAGCGGCGGGGGGCTGTTGTCCCCGGGTGCCATGCTAGGGGGGGTGCCAGGCTGGGGTGGGAGTGGAGCAGGGAGCTGGGAGGAGCTGGCCACGTGCTGCCTCCCTGAACACACTGTGAACAGAGGCAGTCAGGCCGGGTGGCAGGAGCGGCCATTTTAAAAGTCAGATTCACTTACCCGTCTGCTTCCTCTGGTGCCTGGCGCTGTGGGAGGGGGATTCGGTTGGGCTGCCGGAACTCTCCCTGGTGTGGGGCAGCTCAGCTCCATGGAGGGTCCCACCCCCGAGTGACAGGCACTTCCCCTTCCAGAGCTGGGCGGAAGGACCAGGGCCCGTCTCAATTCCCATCACAGCATTTCCCAACTTTCTCTGTACACGCCAGATTGGCAGCTCCCTGAGCCGGCCTGGAGCCCAGATTCCCCCTCAGCCATTTCCGGAGCCGGCCTTGGCCTGTGCACATCCTGCTCCCCCTCCCCCTATACCCTCAGCCCCCTCCCTGGCTGATCTAGGACCAGCCCCTTTGAGGATCCCAGCAAGCAGGCGGCCAGCAGCACCGTGGGACCCGGCTCGGCCTGCAGCCACATGTGAGGAAGTGTCCCGCTACCTGCTTGCAAAAGAGACGTCAGGGCTCATCTCGCTGTAGCAGGGGTTGCACAAGACGAGTGTCACCACGAAAGTGCGAGTCGGGGGATACTAGCAGAATTCACCCTCCACCTGTGCTGGAGATGTCACAGCAAGAGCTACACTGCTCCCCTGCCATTACCTCCAAGCCAGTGTCCCCTGGAAGCCGGGCCTCTCAGGAGAGATTCCAATGCTGCCCCACAGCGAGGTTTGTGTTTCTCCTGGTGGTGCACATGCCTTGGTGCATGTAGCAAAAATTATTCCACACATATTCCACCCAGCTGTGGCATCAATTTTGTAACATGGGACACATCACCACCATACAAGGACATGGAGCAAATTCTCTGGGTGAGGGTGGGGGACAAGGAGTTCTGAGTGTGGGAGGGGGCTCAGGACTGGGGACAGAGTGTTAAAAACCAGGTAGGGAGTGTGAGGTTTTGGCATAATCCAGGAATCTAGAACCCAAGTGATTCTACCAGGCTGTGACACATAATGAAAGTTGGAATCTTCGGGGGATCTGCCCACAGCGATCTGGAATACAGGGGAGTTTATGCCGTTCGAACGCATTTTGACATCTAAAACGACACGCAGTCCTAGAGTCCGTTTAATATAGAACTCAAGACTTCATATAGAGTTTAAAACTACTTATGCATGTTGCCTGAAGCCATTCTAGAACCAAAGAGGAATCTAGAACCCTCCAGATGCTAGGGGGATTCGAATGTGCCAAGGTGCCTAGAAGACAAGACTATCTAGAGCCAACTATGAATCTAGACCCGAAGAAACTATTCAGCTAGAAAATATTGAAATACCTAGAACCCCATAAAGCAAAGGTCAGCAGGTGTCCAGCACTTGCCCCGCCCCACATTTTTTTATACTTCTGTGCAGTCAGTTTCTCGCGGGTTCCTCCCACTGGATTCGGGTCCCAACCCATCGCTGTCGAGATCCTCGTAAAGCGCTGCTTTGATCACAGAGAGCAGGGACGCCCTGAGGAC